TGGGTGACAGAGCAAGACTCCATCTCAAAAAATAAAAAAATAAAAATAATAAATAAAAGAAAATGAAACAAAACAACAACAACAATCCACTAGGCGAGCAGTTTGGAGACTCAGTGCCTCATAGCAATCCTATCAGGACTTCAGTGTTCTGCACAAATCAGAAATAACTCCTGTCCTATTTACTTCACCATGATTGCCCTGGAGAGGAAATACATGGAAAAAATGAAAATAGGAGGTATATTTTCTTAGGAATACATTTTAATAGGAATCATAGTATTACAATCATAAATTTGGAGAAAGAATTTATAACGAAGTTTCTAAGGCAGTGCTAAGCCTTACACTAAAAGAACAAGACTGATTATCAGATATTGGCTGCACTAGACATAGAGGACATTGTTGGTCATCTGACCCAAACTCATTCATTCCTAACCCCTTTCTCTCTTGTCCATCTCAGCTGAAAAGGCTGCAAAAGTTTCCATTGTGTCTCATGGAGGCCACATGACACAGTTCTGGCTAAAGAGTTGTAAGCAGAAATTTGTTGCGGACTTGCAGAGAGAGAAGCTTTTGCCTTTTTCTTATAAAAGGGGCAGATACAGTTGGTGTGAATTCCTCTCTTCTTTCTACCTTGAATATTGCTGTAATGTCTGGAGCTGGAGCAACTATTTTGTGATCACGAGACAACGAGCCAACACGCTAGGTATCATGAAGAGAAAGAACGAGCTTGCCTGGGTCTTTGATGACATTGATGAGGTGCTACCCCAGCTGTGGGTGGCCTACCTTGAGACTTTTTGTTTATTTAAGACTTTTTTGGTGAGGGGAGGGTGGGTTTTTTTGTTTGTTTGTTTGTTTTGTTTTGTTTTGCTTTTTGTTTTTTTGAGACAAAGAGTCTATTCTGTCACCCAGACTAGAGTACAGTGGTGGGATCTTGGCTCACTGCAACCTCCACCTTCCAGGGTCAAGCGATTCTCCTGCCTCAGGCTCCTGAGTAGCTGGGATTACAGGTGCCTGCCACCACACCCAGCTACTTTTTCTGTTTTTAGTAGAGACGGGGTTTCAGTGTTGGCCAGGCTGGTCTCGAGCTCCTGATATCAGGTGATCCGCCCACCTTGGCCTCCCAAAGTGCTGGGATTACAGGCGTGAGCTACCGGGCCTGCCTATTTAAGACTTTGAGAGTTGAGTTTTCTGTTACTTCCAGCCAAAGCATTCTAAAGTACACCTAATTCCAAAGTACACTTTGTTCCTGATAGCATGGAGTGCTATAATATGTTATAGGCTATATATTTAGACTTAACTAAATTGTTTTTTCTTAAAAGGAAATTACCATATAGTCATTTGCAATTTTGCTTT